CCTGAGATTACCGGCCAGGCGCCTGGGGGTGAGAAATTTCGCCGCCCAAGGTCGTCCTTTTCGACCTGCCTGGCCTTTCTCACTCAGTGTCCATTCGCGGTCGTTCTCAATTTTTCACTTGGCTCTCACCATACGGCCGCGAACGCCGAATATTAAGTCCACGCCGAATATCAGGGCTTTTAATGCCATAACATAAAGGAACAAGGAAATAAATCAAAAGGGATGAAATGTTGCACTGTCGAAATGCATAAAAGTGCTACAAATATTTTTGTAATACTTATGCAAAGTGAGTCTGTACGTCACTAAATGTTACTCGTGGCGAATATTGTTGATTCACTTATCTGAAATAACGTATTTACTAATAGTAGGACTTTACGGGATAATGAATTCATTCTTACGTACTGAAACTGATCTTTGTCTCATAATTAAATTTGGTGAAAACAATCATAACGAGGTTAAAAATAATTACTTCCTTTTTATTTAATCCCCGGTTTGTGGGCGGGGGGAAACCCCGGTCCCTTTTTTTTTTTGGGTTAGTTTTAGCAAGAAACCACTTAAACCGCCTAAAAGTTTAAAAAATTTCCGTCTTATTTTAGTCTTACTTTTACCCTCCCCCCTTCCGCCATTTTTAAAAAAAAAAAATTGTAGTTTTTAATTTGTTTTTTCCAAAAAAAACTTTTAGGGTTTACAATTTTTTGTTTTACTCCAAAAAAAAAAAAAAAAAAAATTCTCTTAATTTTTCCAGGGGGGGTATTAATGTCAAGCCCACCCCCAGGGGGGGGGGGTTGTAGACGATGGTTTATTTATGTTTAAAAAAAAATTTTTTCCGGTTTAATCTTTTTCCAAAAAAAAAAAGAGAGTTGGAACCACACCCACCAGTGTTTTACACGTTTCACTCTCGAGGAGGGAAGGTTCCTTTGAGGTACTTGTTGGGTCTCGAAAAAGCAGAAGGGATGGTTCCATTTCGGAAAAAAAAACCAAAAAACAATTTTTTTTGTAGAGGGTTGGTGTTTTTAAACAGTACCACTTATTCAAGGGGGCGTTTTTACTTTTTAGTGGTTGGACGTCAGTGGGTTGCCTTTTTTGATTTCTAACCTTTTTGGTGCCCAAAAATCCATTTTATTAAACTTAATCGTACCCATGGGAAAAGAAAGGTAAAATTAGTTCTTAAAGGGGGGAGGAGCTTTTGAGGAGCCAGGAGGCCATTCACCTGGGCCTTTACCTTTTAAAAAGTTTTTTTTTCGGCGCGGTACAACTTTTTCCTGTAGAGTTAAAAGAGATTTACGGAAAGCTCCTGGGCTCCTTTTAAAGGTGTGCCCGTTAGCTGTAAAAATCCATAGATTAGCCGCACCGTTATATAAGCCGCAGCGTCGAAAAATAGGGAAAAAGGCGCGGCTTATAGTCCGAAAATTACGGTACATCAAAATTGTACTTGAGTAGATATATTAATTGACTTACCACCATGGTGTGTCATTTTACATTATCTATTTAATTGTCATTCTCAGTTCTAATTGAGTGTTTTCCTCTCTTGGAGCTACCAATCATTAATATGGCTTCAGAAATAAATGTAGATGAACCTGAATCAAACAGTGTTGATAGAAGTGCATACAAAGGGTGTAAATCTGTGTGTGTCCTGCAGGATGAACGAGGAGCAGATTGCCACGGTGTGTCTGTCTGTCCTGAAGGCGCTGTCTGTCCTCCACACACAGGGTGTGATCCACAGAGACATCAAGAGTGACTCCATCCTCCTCACTCATGATGGCCGCGTATGTACCACATTCTTCACACTAGATAAACACACCTTAGTTCTCTTTAGAGGCATTTCAAACTCATTAAAGCTGTCCAAAGCCTCCCTTTCAGTGCAGGAGTGCAGAACATCTGTTCCTGAGCTGCCCAGTCAGAACAGAGAGCCCAAGTGCGTTCATTATGCCCTTTAGTAGCAGCAAACATCCACTTTTATCAGTCGAACCACAACAAGCATTTCTTCTCAGACATCTCGGGAAGTCATAGAGGGACATGAGCAGGTGTAGTGAGTAACAATACTTTTTGATTTGTTTCATTTAAATGATCAAATGAGCCATCATCATGCAGCGATCATTTATATCCTTCCTGCTTTGAGATGTTACATGCCTGTTGTGTATCTCACTGCACTGCAGCCCCTGACATAACGTCACAAGTTGTTGTAAGAATGAAAATACATTACTGTGTTGTCTTTGTTAACCACAGCTGTTAAACTGGGAGTGTTACCAGTTCACTTCCTGACATTTGAAGGCAGGTTTCTGCTTTCAGTAGAAAATGAAACCAATCTGGTTAGGCCAGAGGAAAATGGAAGTTGTTTCTTGTGTGTCACAGTCCTCGTCAGTAGTGGAATGTTATTAAGTACAAGTGTGAGGTTCTTGTAGTTACTTACATGTTTGCATTTTATGCAGCTTTATACTTCTACATCTCTCTTTGAGGTAAATATTGTACTTATCCATCCCTGTCCTTTTGTGTAAAAAAAAACACTTAACTCCAGGTGTGTTCATTTTGAGTTTTCGTAATGAACTAAAGTGTTTTTTTATGTTTTGAGAAAATATTTATACTTTTTAATCTAAATAAAAGCCTCTCGGATCAGCTGTAAAATATGTATAGCATACTAAGAATGAAAATACTTCTTCTAGCACTGTGTTTTAGTACATAAGACCGTGACTCAGTGTGTCAGAGGAGTGGTTCTGCTGAGTTGAGCTCTTAACCACAATCCTACCATTTAAGCAAGGCCGACAATTTGTGGCAAGTTTTCTGCTAAATGTCGTCAGAGCTTATGTGAAACTGGTGTCTTGTTCACATTGTTAGACCTCAAAGATGACAAATGTTGTAAATAATTTGACAAAATTTGTCATTTTCTGCCAAGCGTACCGCATCCTTTGTTTGTTAATCAATTTGTTTATAATAGGTTAATAGGCATATGTGTCTCAGTCTCTTGCACCATCCCATATAATATCTTGTTTGTGCAAGTCACAGATGTGATGCTAAGACGGCCTAAGGTGTTAACCACAGCCCTTTGATGACATCTGATGTGAGTTTGTGGCTTGTGTCTTTATGAGCTGTGGTGTACAGCAGTATGCATGGCCAGAGAGGCCTCCGGGACACTGAAGGGCTTCTTCAGCATTGTTGTCCTCTGTGAGGAACAGAACAAGGCAGGGGCTGCTTCATGTTGCTCATACTTCATGGACAATGTGTTTAATAGTGATCGGTATATGATATGGGAAGGTTTGTTATATAGTTTTGCTTTGCATGGTGCATGTATACTTTTCCAGTCCTGTTATTTCCCCCCTGTGGACACAGCATCAGTGTTTCTAATGGTGGCCATGTCATGTAACAGTGTATACGTGTCAGACATTACAAACGGAATGAAAGCATCTGCCAGCACCAAATGTCTTAAAGAATACTTTGAAAAACTTTCTTAAAACTTTAAGAAAGTTTTTCAAAATAGGAAGCAGTTGATGTTTCTTTATGTTTATATCACTGGTGGTAAATTCATTTGTAAACACTGAACTCAATTAAAATTGTATAAAATATTTTGAGTTACATCACAGAAAGGCCTTTCTGTGTGACCTGGGTGTTCCTGCAGGCTGCTGAGGTCAGATGGTGTGAGGTGGGTCTGAGGGGCTGCCCGCTGTGGGCCGGGAGGGGAGGCAGACCCCACCAAGCCTTATGTGTTCCTCGTCAGTAGGGCGTTGTATCTGGTGCAGCTGTGTGATAACGGGAGACTTTAGAAACAGTTTGAAGACATACGCTCTCTGTTCGGTTTGATTCTAGTCTATCCGGGTTACATTTCAAGCTTCTTTTGTTTCCCATTAGTGGCAGACATACTGAAACAGTGTCTTGGCTGTGTTAGTTGTTTATGTGTTGCACCACTTCTCATTGTGGGTTTGTTTCATTTCTCTTTCTGAGCTATCTGAGGCTAACAGTGAGCCCTGTGGGCCTTATCAAAGGTTTTCTCTTGCACAGAGTTTCTTAGAAAGATGTGCAGATGGTAGCAAAGAGGAATGCCATTGAGTGAACTATTGAAGCATAAGCTGTGCCTCAGATCATATTTATTTCCATGTTGCAGGAACACACCTTTTTATGTCTTATATTACTTTTCTTCATCATTATGTAATCTAAAGTCAAATGTACCCTGCTGAGAAAAGCTTTTGAACCATTTACCATCCCATGCTTCATGTCGTTTTCAGTCTATCTATATTTTTGTTATCCTTTTTATACTATAATTATCCTACGTTGGTCTATTCTAATCAAACAACATATATTGCATGTTTGTCCCTCGTGAGAGAGCTTTTTCTCTGTTGTTGTTCTAGCCAAAGTTTATTCAATTTTCTTCTGTTTTTAAGGGTAGGTATGCTCTGATTCTGAGTTATTTACTTTCTCGGAGAAATAATCTCCATTTTCATCAGTCATACCATTTCTTTTCTTTTTGTAACCATTCCTTTGTGTGGCTTGTTCTGCCTCCAGGTGAAGCTGTCAGACTTTGGCTTCTGTGCCCAGGTGTCTAAAGAGGTGCAGAGAAGGAAGTCTCTGGTTGGAACGCCATACTGGATGGCACCAGAACTCATATCCAGACTGCCATATGGACCAGAGGTAAAACTCGCACTCTGTTCATGTTGAAACTTCCCCATAAATACATCTCTTCTCGTGGTGACTCTCTCTCTGTATCCAGGTGGATATCTGGTCTCTGGGTATCATGGTGATAGAGATGGTGGACGGGGAGCCGCCGTACTTCAATGAGCCGCCGCTCAAAGCCATGAAAATGATCCGAGACAACCTGCCTCCCAAACTGAAGAATCTGCACAAGGTACCAAGACAAAATGCTGCAGAGCACTTCATGTGAAGCATCATCATCACATAATAACATAATAACACAAATGCTGTACAAATAAAAGACACTTTTCAAGGTTGGATTATAACCTGTGTTTAGGTAATGGGCTGAGTAATCTTAGACCTTTTTGTTCTATGCCTTTTGTAGTGGCTTAAAAGTGTCAACACCTTTTATTTAAAGGGCTTCTTTATAGCAACAAAGAAATGGCAAAGGTCCCAGCTGGACTACTGATAACGTTTTATCAACATAAGCACTAAGACAACTAAATAAGACACCAGTACAGGGGGTCCGCGGGGTCTTAAAAAGTATTAAAAGTTGATAAATTAATTTAGCAAAAATGAAGGCTATTAAAAAGTATTAAACATTATTTTCCAAGGTATTACATTTTGTAGCTTGTTTTCAATAAGTATATACATTGTCCAAAGAGGTTGTATTCTACAGTGTGCCTGAATGTAATCATTGCGTAGGTGTGTAGTGTGATTCTCTGTAGTTTATTTCTGGCATCCCGTTGGATTTGACGTCATCTGAACAGGACATCGCACGCTCACTGCTTTATAGCGCGCGAAGGTCCGTTTACGCCGGTTGTTAAAAAACATCGTTATGGGGAAATGCAAGTTTGCATCTCTTTGGAACAATGCCTAAATCAAATAATACTTTCTAATGGTTTATTTTTCTAATAAACCTTGCATTGGGTTGGTCACACAATTAATTCTCTTGTGCTTTGTTCTATCGGAATTATGATAAGGAGTTATCGCAAGCTGTTTAGTTGTGCTATCTTACAATCAAACTGCAGATGTGATGTATGTACAGTACGGGCTACTATTAATGGGTTACATGGTTAGCCCTTGGTTTTGCAGCCTGATGGCTACAGGCACAAAGGATTGCCCGAGGCGCTTGGTGCTGTGCCGAGGAGGGATGAGTCTGTGGCTGAACTCCTCTGAGGAGGACCTGAGCATCCTCAGGAAGAACAGCTGGCTCTGTCCCTTCCTGAAGAGAGTATCAATGTTGTCTGACCAGTACAGTTTATTGCTGTACTGGTCAGACAACACTGATGTTGTTGTTCCTCAGTGTTGCTGATGTTGAGCTGGAGGTAATTGTTGTCAAACCAGCCTACAAAGTTCTCCACCAGTGTCGATAAAAAAAGAATAGCCGGATTTCTTAAATGTAATTCCATTTTTTGATTGAAAAGGAAATGGTTAACATGGGAATATATCTGATGGAGAAATGTGGTTCCTTGGCTGTGTATATGTGCATGCAGGCAGAAACCATTAGTCAAAAGGATTTCATTCAATGTCTGACAAGAACTGACAGATACATAAATATTGATTTTATATATCGATATATTACGTTTGTTTCCACAGAAAAAAAAATAGATGCAAAGCAGTTAGTAAGGTCTGAATTTGTCTCACTTCAGTCCAAATTCTCTGAGTAGAGATGTTAAGTTATTTATAGTGTGCACCCTTCCACTGGACTGGAGATATCTTATAATGTACATGTGGTTTGTTTTGATTCACAGCCCTGTCACTTCTCTATTTAAACAAATGCTACAGGCTAGTGTCATGAACACCTGAATCTGATGACTCTGAATATTTTCTCCCCCTGCCAGGTCTCCCCTCTGCTCAAGGGCTTCCTGGACAAGACGTTAGTGCGGGACCCAGCTCAGAGGTCCTCGGCCAGCGAGCTTCTCAAACACCCCTTCCTGACCAAGGCGGGGCCCCCCTCCTGCATCGTCCCTCTGATGAGGCAGAACAGGATGAGATGAGACCTGTGACACCAAGAGCTCCACACTCTGGAGGGTAGTGTGTGCAGGTTCAGATGGAACACAATATTCCTGCACAAAGAGGGGGAGGGGTGGGGGGTGGGGGGCACAGAGGTCACGGCTGAGAGCTGCAGAGAGTAAACTGGGTGTGCACAAGTATTCTTTTTTCCTTATGGGAATCACTGAACTGTAGAGGTGTACTCTTTCAAAAAGAGTGTGTGTGTGTGTGTGTGTGTGTGTGTGTGTGTGTGTGTGTGTGTGTGTGTGTGTGTGTGTGTGTGTGTGTGTGTGTGTGTGTGTGTGTGTACCTGGAAATATTGTGGCTGTTTTTTTGTTTTCCATTTGGACCTTACCTGGATTTTAAGTGTGGAGGGGGGTTTTGCACACCAATCGGATGCTTTGAAGGAGCCGTGAGCCCCAGGCTGATTTTAGGCATTGGCTGGGCAACATTTTAATCTCACCATTCGACGGTCTGAAGATGAATTCTCTCACTGAAGGGCTTCTCCCGCTGACAGATCCCAGACCCAGACACTATCCTCATCACACCCAGAACTTACTACTGAGGGAGGACTTCTGCTGACTCAGACATGAGTCAAACAAACTTTATTTTGTAGCCATATAAATACTAGCTTTCTGTTGCAAACAAGCAAACATACACTAAGTCAAAAGGTAAACACTGGAGTTGTGGTTTTTTTTAAATTTGGTTTTACTCTTATTTCCTCCTTATTTTCCTGTGTAAGTACAATGAACATAGAGAGGTATATCAATTTTGATGTTTTGCTATCTCTTTTGTGATTTTTTTATTATTATAATTATTATTATGATTTGTTTCATGGGTTATTTTAGAGAAAGATGTGATGATTTTTGAAGCACTGTTGACGAGAGATAGAAGCTGCACTCCCGGTTGATTCCAGCACGCAGACACTAGACTTTATATTGTATTTCTTTAGACCAGACCAGATGGGATTTGTTGTCCATCCACCTTGGTGATGAAGATGTCCCTTTATCGCCAGGACAATAATACACCCCCTTAACACTGAATGGAACTACAATTCTGACAAAGCTTATACAAATCCCAGCCCTGTTTTAGCATTTCTCCTTTTTTTTAATTTTAGAAGAGTAGGCTTTTCCATGACCTGTTTTTTAACTTTAATAACTATTTCACCTGAAAGAGGTTTCTTCTGGTAGAAAGTGAGAGTGCTCGAATTTGTTGTCAGTCCACGTTTGTTTGGATTTGTTTTATTCTGTGGTTCACATTCTCTTTCTGACAGTCATTGCTCTCTTTCAACAAACGCAGAGCGGCTGCTGTTCCAGGCTGCTGCTGATTAGAGCTCTCATCGCGTTATTCTATTCAATCAATTCATCATTGATCTCGTAGTTAAGGCCTCTGACGGAGCGCTCCTGAATCACCTCACGAGTGCTTTATTTTTAAGCGGTAAAGGAAACTCTTATAGTACTTGGCACGAAGACATTGTGTGAAGATATGCTTCTGTTTGCATTTCAGTCTCTGTGCATCATGTGTTCTGTGACAGTGGACCTTTGGGCAGATGACCGGGGTGCTTAAGGCACACAATGCTTCTATGAAAATCCAATATGAACACTAGTTAGCAACAACTGTAATACTAACGCACACATGCACGCATGCATGAGCTAAAAGAATAATCCGACCTGGATCATAGTTCTGCAGCAGTGCAAAGAAACCATCCTCCATCAGTGCTCGGTTCATTTCATGACAATATGTAACAGGTTTATGTTTATTGTCAGACACAAACACTCATTAGGACATCCAGATCAGTCACTGCAAATGAAATGTTTTTAAATTCCAGCAGACACTAAAAATAAATGAATTACACTTCAGGTCTGGTTTATACCTTGGAGCATTGGACAGTCACTTATACAGACGATGGCTGGAGAGATAAGGCTCTGTTATTATTCCTCCCTCTGAAGGTGGTTTGGCACAGAGATGCTTATCCACACATTCCACTCTGCTGCTGTTTCCATTCCTTCTATGTCTTCTGTTGCAACTAAACAGGAGAGGGGCTTCAATTATTAGGATGGCATAGCACAATCGCTGTTGTCATGAACTATTCCACATATACTGCTATACATACAGCTATAGGTATGCACTAATGATACAGTGCACATTTTCCTTTATTCTTCTTGTGCTTATGTGGAACCCAATGACTGAGTGCTTGTGCAAATAGCAGGATGTGTTCCAAGCTAGAACTTGTTTTCTAACAAAGATGATCATTCTTGCAAAGCACAGCAATGATGGTGAGAACGCCCTCCCGGGCATGCAGTCTGTCGGGTGTTTCCTTGGAGTCGTCTCTGGGTTCCTTAATGCTCTCCTGTTTTAGCAGCGGTGTGAGCACAACAATGTAGCTTCCACTTCCTGAAACAGGTGTTCTCTGGTTTACATGAGCAGCTCTGAGACACTGCAGGCTAAGTGTTGGTTTATCATCAACTTTTTCTGTTTCCAGTAACATTCACTGAAGATAGATTCCTGGTAGGCGTCTTTGCACATTTCAGCTGTTTTTCTGTCTGATGCGTGACAATGACTCACAGAGTAGGAAACATGCTGCGATGCTTCGTGTTTCTAATGAGACGTGAGGGCTGTGTGGATGATGTTTGACCGAATGACATCACGTATGGTCCAGGTCATTCAGCTTTGTTTTGTTTGGTTGTGACACTTTCTCATTTTATAACAGGCAGAATCTCAAATTAGACCATAAGATCTGGACGTATTGATTCTTCACTCACATTTCATAGTTTAAATCCGCTGAATGCTGGTAAATGAATCTGTTGAGCTTCCTGCTGTTCTTTTTGAGAGGCCGGAATATGTATAGCATATGAGAACCACTGATAAGACAAAAATAAATCTAATCATTTTGAGAATAATGTCATGCTGTATATTATGAGGGTGAAAAATGTGTATTTTTTGAAAAGGAAAGTCATATTTTGCCAACTATTTTTAGATATTATCAAAGCTAAAAAAAAAAATGAGGTTGCTTCAGGAACAAAAATACATTTGAATAGGATTCTGTGTTTAATGGTTTGGCTCTGCCTCTTTTTCACCTCAACATCCTCAAACGTATTATACTAAGGTACTCATTTGCAGACCACTCAGACATTTGTTTTTCAAAATATATTGTCTTTTCCTCTTAGAATTTAAATTGAACCTCTAAATATTGAAACTTCTGTCATAAAACATTTTGCCTTTGTTTTCAGGTTATTTGGTTTCCTACCTTGGCCCCATCTGTTATGTGTATGTCCTTACATTGTGTTACCAATAGTTTTTTTTCCCACCTTGTCCTACCTGCATGTAGGTCAAGGTGTAAACAAACTCTCTGTTATATTATTTTATATTTTTCCTGTTTATCCCACATTCAGTCATTTCTCCTTTTGATGATCAATGTGAAAGTCCCTGATGTGTTCTGGTAGAATGATGGATCTTTGGGTAGACTGTAACTATATTTGTATGGCCCAGATTCTACTGCTGTGTTTGTGTTGGAGGGTATGTTTGTGTACATATTCATGATTTCTTGCCTTAACATTTACAAACACTACTTGACGGCTGACGGTGTTGACACTACGACTGTTAAAGACGGAGAACAGAGACTTCCATGACGCTTCTTGTCATCTCGCATATCTGAATAAGTCCAATCATTTGTATCAGAAGTTATGAGAAGATCTTCCTGCTTGATACATTAAAAAGGCTCTCATTGACATTCCTGCTGAGACCACTTCAGATTTTCTTCTCACCTCCATTTTCGGGAGCTTCCAATAGTTTTCATTTCTTTACAAGTAGCAAATGAGCAGCCCAGTGCTGTGTTCAGGGTTCAGTGCCGTGCCTTGCCTTGCGGCATATTGACCGACATTTTGGGGATTTTGCAGTTACATGAATAGTCTTGCTTCTTGGGAAAACCCCCAGCAGCTGGTTTCCATAGCGACCGTGTGTTGACTGATCCCCATTGACCACTACTGACCAACCAGCCTGCGCTATGAAATATGTGACAAATGGGTAATTGTCATTGACTTGCCTTTTGTTTAAATGCTGGTATTGTGCAGTATTGACATGTCTTGCCATACATCAAATTCCAACTGTTCCTGCTCCATCTTGTTTTTGTAAATTTCACTGATATTGTAAAAAAAAAAACATAGACTAAACTTTGCAAATTATGCTTCTTTTTTTTTAAAATACAGATTTTGTAAAAGTCTTCCATGGTGTCGGTTTTCTGTTATTTTTGTCTGTTCTGAAATGTTGTTTTTAACAGACGCCCGCTGACAGGTGCAGCGAAAATGAGCTGGGGCTCGCAATTTCGAAGATGGACACAATTTCCAAAGATATCAATATTTTATCAAATCCTTATTTGATTTGCTGCATGTATGGAAGTGCAATTATATCCAAATACATCTCAAAAACTACACATATGGTGAAGTACCACACCTTGTGCAGGTGCCCCATGGAGAAATACTCCGCTTATTAAAGTATGTTTTCAATAGGGCCCATGTGGTCGGTTATTCATTAGCTGATGCAGAATCCGAATGACTCAAAGTTTGTCCCTAATTTGGTATCAAACTTTTATAAGAAGAAGAATCATCACATCATTATTCCACATCTGTAAAGTAACTAAAGGTTAAATACATGTTGTGGAGTAAAAGTACACCATTTACCTCTGACTTGTAGTAGAGTAGAAGAAGTACAAAGTAGCAAAAAACTTTAGTTTACTTACTTTACTAGTAAAGTACAAGTACAGTACTTGAATTAATGTACTTAGTATACTTTAAACCACTGGTAAAATGATACCGATAGCGAGTGCTAGTAATATTAAAACGTGACAGACATGATTAAAGAAAGCCCTCCCAACGAGTTCTCTACTTGTAATCAATGTACTTCCCCAGTGTTGGATATTAAGGCCTTAATGGAGAATCATCCTTTAAAGTCACCCAACTGAATAATAACATGTGTGATAAAGACCCACATGCTGCGTGGGGAGCTGGAGCTGCTCTCCACAAACCAGCAGCTCTATTCCCTGCTCAGCAGCACGCTTTTAGTGTGTGTGTGTGTGTGTGTGTGTGTGTGTGTGTGTGTGTGTGTGTGTGTGTGTGTGTGTGTGTGTGTGTGTGTGTGTCTTTCAGGATGAATAATAAGAGCATTCACCTTGCCTTTAAAGTTAAGAATTCAGATCATTCACTTGAGTTAATTTTGCAATTCTACAGCATATAAATAATTGGTCACAAAAGTCCTACATTCAAAATACCATTAGCATCAAAATATACTTTAAATACCAAAGTTTATATTTATTAATAATTATAATAATAATGTAAGTCCGTACTAAACTAGTAACTAAAGTGATGAGCCAATGTAGTGAAGTGAAAAATAGACTATTTATCTCTAAAGTGTTATAAAGTTTTATCTAAAGTTGTCATTCCTCTATTCACAATTATCTAAACCAAGGTAATGCTCTTTTCTAAAGCTAAAGCTAAAAATACACCAGACTGCTTTGGATATTGTAACTACGCAAGGAATACAACTTGAAGTGGTTACCTGTTACAAATACTTGGGTATCTGGCTTGATGACTGTCTTATTTTTAAATTTCATGTAAATAACCTGCTTAAAAAGCTGAGGGTTAGGCTAGGTTTCTTTTACAGAAATAAGTCCTGTTTCTCGCTTGAGGCCAGGAAAAGCTAGTCACTGTGACCTTTTTACCTGTGCTGGACTATGGTGATTTGTTATATATGAATGCACCTGCCAATTACCTGAGCAAGTTAGATGCTGCGTATCACAGTGCACAGATTTTTGACAAATTGTAAAGCACTTACGCATCACTGTACACCAAGGCGGTTTTGCCATCACTTACTGTACGGAGGCTCAGTCACTGGTACTTTTTCATTTACAAAGCCCTGTTGGATAAACTACCATCTTATATCTGCTCCCTGATCTCTCGGCGAATTGAAAGTACTTATTGCCTGAGATCGCATGCTATGGTTTTATTAAATGTGCCTAGTGATGTCTTAGGGAAGAAAGCTTTTAGATGTGCAGCTCCACTAACTTGGAACAGGCTGCAAAAAGAATGAAAAATTACCAAGCTAGTACCACTACATGTTTTTAAAGTTCGGTTGGATGCTACAAAATCAGATGCTGTTGGTACCTGTACATGTGGATAGATATGTAAATTGTAATCCCTGTACATTTTGCTGTATGATGTCCTTTTGTTGTTCTGTTGTTTTTATGTTTTCATGTGGAACCTACTGCTGCAGGTCTCCCTTGAAAAAGAGATCATTGATCTCAATGGGATTTTACCTGGATAAATAAAGGTTTTGAATTGAATTGAATCTAACATTTTGTTTCCACATTTCTATATTTGTGAGTGAAGTGCCGCGATTTCCCTTTTCTAAATAACTGCGTGCTCGTGCATGTGTGTGCGTGTACTCGCCGGAGCGCGCCTCTGTGCTGTGAGGTAATGGGAGCTTTTCCAGAACTTGACGGAGCCGCGCAGGTGGGCGGTGATTGGCTGCTCGCAGCAGCCAATCACCGCCTGGACTGCTCGCAAACACAGCTGATCGATGAGTCAGCGCGAGGCAGCGGAGCAGCACCTATGAGCAGCACCCACTTGTTGCTGAGGCAGGAGCGGAGCTGACGGAGGTCTACAGCCGCGAGCCATCTCACCTGCTGGGGAACCAGAGGAGCTCCTCCAGCCTACAGCCCCTCCGCCTCACCTCCGCCTCCCGCTGCTGCCTCTCCGCGGCTCTCAGGTGAGACTTCGAGACATTTGGTATAAATACTTGGTCCAATCAGAGACGCTTTTAAAATCAATAAGCTATAAACATATAACATACCGTCACACTGTGTCCCTCCGCGGGGATCTATTTTATAGCCTTTGATCAAATCAACTGAATTGCTGTAGCTGTGAGTTCATACAGAGAAAACATGAACTGCTTATTGCCTATTAATTAAACCTTCTGGTGACAGAACGAGGACCAGAATTAGCTTTATTTAGTATTTCAACACATCAGCTTTATTAATATTATACCGGAATGGACATAGGCCTACATCTAAAACAAGGACAGCAAATCAGGTCAATAAATAAAAAACATAAAAATATAACTGATATGTAAAATCAACAGAGCGCAAAGGCTGCTGGAATAGATCTTGGATGATTCATGGAACAGATAGCTTTAAACATGGGGTAGGTGGATAAGACTTGTAATGATGTGACAGTGATGATGTTCATGTCAGTGTGACAGACAGTGATTGTTAGGGGGATGGTTATTGATAGTTAATAACCACAGGAATAGTATTGTGAAGTCATGAAGCTTCCACTGAGGAACAAAGGCTCTTTTAACCTGTGGTACTAAATGCAGTGCAGAGCCCTGAGGGGCCACAGTGTGGAGCTATGAGGTGGTCCTGAGGGGCCACAATGTGGAGCTGTGAGGTGGTCCTGAGGGGCCACAGTGTGGAGCTATGAGGTGGTCCTGAGGGGCCACAGTGTACTCTGTCAATCCCTGGATGTGTTCAGGACTGTGATCAGGTTCAGACGGTTGGTCGGACAAAAGAGGTGATTGAAGACTTCAGAATAATTTCTGCACTTTTTTTTGCCATTTCATAAACCAGAAAATGAAAATACATGTTTTCAGATGAAATGATAATGATTTAGTTTAATATTTCAACTTTAGATGTGTTAAAAAAAAAGTGAATGCCTGGATGTGTGTGACTTGCTGGGACTCTAGTGGCCCCACTTGACCCCCCCACAGATAACACTGTGAAGGCCTATGCTCCAGACACACTTGGGTGCCTTTTTAGTGCAATTAAATGCAAATGTATTTATCACTGTTCCGCAAAACATACAAACCTGGTAATAACTACATTAATACATCTGTAAAAAGCTGCACAGGAAGTGGCAGACAGCGGGAGCTAATATGGAGACTACTGCCTGCTTTACCTGCAGGAACGTTGAGTATGAGCTTCACCTTTTACAATTATTATATTGTTGTTTATTCCCAGTAGTTCTATATCGGCAAACCCGATCAATCAAAAAAAAACTTGTTTGATTCTGTCATTCATATTTATTCAACTTCAATGTTCAATTAGCTTTTAATTTGACCATGTTCAGAGGGGAAAGTGTTTCAGTGATTGAAGGCAAACAGCAATCTGTGGCAGCACATCATACAGAGACCAGCACACTGCTGTGTACTGTGTGTACTGTTCAGAGCATTAACACACCCAAACATCCCCTAATCTCACTTAGCAGGAAGGAGCAGGTTTCTTGTGATTGCTATATTTGTCATATATGATTATATCAAATTAAATATAGACCAGAGGACGTTTTGAAGGCGTTGTCTGTGAGAAACACTGGCTTCTCTTCCTCAGTGCTGTCCGGCTGTGATGATGGCAGCTTTGGTTTTCTCTGGTAATGTTGCTTATGTTTCAGGTCGATTAGAGAAGTGGAATTTGGACTCCTCACACATGGATAGGGATGTGGTAGAAGTGTCTGTATGAAGAGTTCTAAGTTACCACTTAGAACTGAAAAGCTAAAGTCTCCCCAAACAACAGTTCATATGTCCTCTTCTGTATAGGACCTTTATTGGAAAATCACATTTATAAGCAATTCTCATAAAATAAGAAAAGTGGTGAAGCTTGGAGGTGCAGTAACAGAGGGAAGTAGACGAGGTGAAGACTACTACGTCAATGTTTGATGATTCAGACATCGCTTTGTGTCGATGGTCAATGAATGTTCATTTAGTGTTCATTCGTCATCACTTATATTAGATTGTGTTTACTGTACATTTCATTTAAGTGATTCTGTTCTCTCTCCTTCCACCCTCCTTCATCTCGGATGCAATAAGTGATGCATTTAGTTACTTTGGGCCTGGGTAAGGGCCTACAAGGAGGCGCTCACCTTGACCAAAGCTCAATACTATTCAACCATAATCGACCAACTGTTTTCAACCATAAATAGTTTACTCCGCCCCATTGCTTCCCCACAACCTCCTGGTGCTCGTGACCTCTGCTCGGACTTCCTGGATTTCTTCCAGGCCAAAGTGAATTCCATCCACTTGCAGCTTAACGCACCTGCCCCCCCCCGCTCATCACACAGCTCCTACTCCAAGCGCCGCTGCTCCAACTGCACGCTCCTCATACTGCCACCTCTCTGCTTTCACCCCTGTGGATGCTGTCCAGGTGGCTAAGCTGGTTTCTAAGGCCAAGCCCTCCACTCTCTGGACCCCATGCCCACTGTCCTAGTAAAGGCAACACTACACACTGTTCTGCCCACCATCGTGGACATCATTAATTCCTCCCTGCTAACTGGCATCTACCCAACATCCTTCAAAACTGCCTCAGTCACCCCCATTCTGAAGAAACCCGGACTTGAACCAGCTGACCTCAACAAC